GGGGTAATCGGGATGGGTGTGTCAGAGGCAGTGAGAGTGGCACAGGATAGAGCAGGGTTTAGGACTGTTGTATATAGGGTTGCTATGAGTCACAAACAGCTCAAAGGCATATAACAACAGCAACAGCATTGGGATTGCATTGAACATACAGATTATTTTTGCTAAGATTGCCATTTCCATGATATGGAGCCTTCCTATCCATGAACAGGGCACATTTCCCCATTTCTTCGGGTTTTTTTATTGTATCTTGCCGAAATACTCTGCAGTTTTCTTTGTATAGGGTTTTTGGATCTCTAGTTAGGTTCACTCCCAAGTATCTCAATTTGTGGTTGGCTATTGTAAATGGTACTGCTTTTTTTTACTTTCTCTCTGAGTTCTCTTTGTTACTGTAGAGGAATCCTATTGATTTTTGGATATTGATCTTATATCCTACCACCCTACCACTCTACTAAATTAGCCTACTAGCTATAACAGTTTTTTTGTTGAGTCTTGGGGGTTTTCTCTGTATACTATCATATCATCTGCACAAAGTGACAGTTTAACCATCTCTTTTCTGATCTGGATGCCTTTTATCTCCTCTTTTCGTATTGCCCTATCACGCACTTCCAATGCAATATTGAATAGAAGTTGTGTCTGGTTCCTTGAACAAATTATTTTAGAAGCTGGATTATTTGAAGAAGAATGTGGCATCAGGATTGGAAGAAGATTAATCAATAACCTTGCTTCCTCAAAGCGAGGAGGATTTGAAGCTCTTGCTGCAGAAGATCAAACACTGCAGGTTTCAATATGGATTGCATCTCAACATGAAAACAAAGCAAAACAAAAATTCTCACCACTAGACTGAGAGGCAACATCATGATAAATGGACAAAAGATTGAAACTGTCAATGACTTCATCATACTTGGATCCACCATCTATACATTTGGTACAGCACTCAAGAGACAGAAGACATAATACATTGGGCAAGTCTGCACTCAGAGACTCTTCCAATTTATGGAGGAGCAATGATGTCAGTTTGAGGACTAAGGGGTACCTGATTCAGGCCATGTCTTTTCAATCACTTGCTATGCTGCTGAGAGCTGGACAGTGAATAAGGATGACAGAAGAAGAATTTATGCCTTTGAGCTGTGGTGTTGGAGAATATTGAATATCCTGTTGTTGTTGTTATGTGCCGTCGAGTCATTTACGACTCATAGCGACCCTATGCACAACAGCCCTAACCCCTGCTCTGTCCTGCGCCAACCGCACTGCCTCTGGCACACCCATCCCGAGAATATCCTGTAGACTGCCAAAATAACAAACAAATATGTTTTGGAAGTATTTGGTAATGACATATCAGATAAGGGACTTATAACTAGAATTTATAAAATACTTGAGAACCACAACAAGATAAAGGTAAATGATCCAATTGAAAAATGGCCA